TTAATTCCCGTAGTAAGTCTCAAAATATGACTACAAGGCCCAGAGGTGGGATTGTGACCCCTAGGAGGGAAACTAAGTCCTTTGGAAAGCCCACTGTAGCTCTGGAAGGGAGGACTGAGACTCCTGGAGAGACCATGACCCATGGAGAGACGACTATGATTCCTAATGATCGTTGGACCTCTAAAGGGAAGATCATGCCCCTTGGAAAGAGGGCTGTAGTCCCTGAAATGATGACTGTCCCCTCTGGAAAGATGACAGTCACTCCTGATGGGCAGACCAAGACTCTAGAAGAGAATTTGACTTCTGAGGTGGACACTGATCCCCCGTTGGATTATATTGTTCTTCAGATGGAAGCCAAAAGCAGGAGGCCATCCTCAGGGCCTGTCATCTAGCCCCAGGACACATTCCTCCTGCTTTTGACAACCCCTGTGTTCCCATTAATGGAAATGATTCCTCTGTCAACTCGATGACCCTTCCAACAAGCGCTCTTTCTCTAAAAAAAGAAAACCCAGAAAATTCTGCTGTGGGTCAAGGAGCCTAAGCTCTATTGAAGGCAGAAGCTGGGGAAAGCCCTCGTCTTTTCTTATAGGCCCCTGACAGGAGCTGCTTTTACCTAGACATTTATAAACCATTCATGGGTACAAGCAGGCCCCAAAGCCAGTGAAATCATCTCTTTTCTGTCGAATAAACTGGAAACACAAGAATTCATCTGAGTTCTCTGGAGTTCTTTTCTTGAAATGACCTGTGCAATGCAATTGTCAGCATCTGCCTTTCAAGTTCACTTTCCCCTACTGCTTTTTTTGGAAGGAGGGAGTTTGTGTCTAGCCTGTGTCGACGTTTTCCAATGTGGATTATGTGTTTCCCTCTCTGCCTTGCACAACTACTCCCCTCACGGGTGGTCTGAGACAGAATCTCTTCCAGCACAGTTTCCCATTCTCCTTTTATTTCACTCCAGTGTAACATTTGCTCCCATGAATATATCAGAACTCCTCTTGCCAAGGTCACTGGTGATGCCCATGCTGTTCACTGCAGTGGCCAAGTGTCAGTTCCAACCTTCCTTGAGACAGCAGCCGCACTGACACACTTGGTCACTTTGTCCTCCTTGACACACTTTCTTCACGGTGCTTCCAGCTTTTGTTTTTACCTGACTGGTCATTCCTTCACAGTGTTCTATACTGATTTCTCCTTTCATTCGTGATCGCTTAACGCCGGGGAGCTCCAAGTCTCTTCTCTGGGTCTCTTTTCTTCTATATTTATGTTTACACTCTTGGTGTTGTCATCCAAACACATCACTTAAACAGCAGCTCTAATATTGTCAAGAGAACAAAAGCACAAAAGAATATCTATAGTATGCTATCTTTTGCATAAGAAAAAAGGGGACAGAAAATACACGTGTCTGCTCATTTGTGCACGAGTACTACAGAGAGGATAAATATGGAAATAATGAGATTGGTACCTGTAGGAGTTGAGTGAAGATGGGGTGGAAAAAATGGGAGACTGGGGACAGGGTACCAGGGAAGGAGGGATTGATACTTACCCGAGTACGCATATGTGTGTAATTCTCACTTTTAGAACCATGAAAATGTTTCACATGACCCACAAAATAAATAAAATCAACTCAAAATTGAAATACAAAGAGTAACAAATGTGGGTGCCTGGGTGGCTCAGTTGGTTAAGCGACTGCCTTCGGCTCAGGTCATGATCCTGGAGTCCCAGGATCGAGTCCTGCATCGGGCTCCCTGCTCAGCAGGGAGTCTGCTTCTCCCTCTGACCCTCCCCCTCTCTCATGTGCTCTCTCTCTCTCTCAAATAAATAAATAAAATCTTAAAAAAAAAAGAGTAACAAACGTATTTAACTATATTAAAATACAGAAACAACATAATCACATTGAAGGAATTAGGGAAGGAAAGAACGAACCTTAGCAGCTTTGGAAAATAGCATTTTGCCTCTATATTGAAAGGCTAAAGACAAAAGGAACTATGGACAAATACGGTACTCTAGCAAATTTGCTTTTTATACTTACATAGGTTAGCAATTCTGAAACTGCTTTATGTGTATTTCAGAATTAAACACAGAAGGAAACATACTGTGGATAAGAAGAGCCGTGTTTCTCACAGTCAGAGAAATAGTTATAGATAGGGAAAAAGGAAAGGCAGGAATGAACCCTGGGGTGTTGGATTCAGAAGTAACAGCAGGAAATCATGGTTTTAAAAATATATATGGATTGGTTGATATAGAAATGGATATAGAAATATGTGTATCCATAAATATATTTCCTGCTTTCACCGCTGGAAAGGGCTAGAGCAATGACATCCTAATAGACCCAGTACCTTGAAGAAAATGTCCCTGAGCACCCCTTGAATAACTGGGGATGGAAGCCTCTGTATCTTGCTACCTTCTCCCCTCTCCTAGTGGATAATTCTGAGTGATGATTCTGAGTGGACAGCGCTGTGCTGAGCACAGTGGGTGATATTCCAGGACCCAGATGTCTACAAGACTTTAAACGCTAGTGGGAGAGAAAAGACAAGTAGTCAAATGATTTATTTCTGATAAAAACGAGTGGTTGTTTATCTCTGATAAAAACGAGTGCTTCACAGACATGTCATCTCATGCTGAGGAAGCAGACTCAGAGAGCTTAGGTACTAATGTCTTGCTGCAAAGACAACTTGGTAAGCGCAGTAAGAGAGCCTGCCGTGTTAAGGGATTGACAAGAGGTCAGAGGCACAGATGTGTGATGGACAAGTCCTTGGAATAGATGACAGGTTGGAGGGGGGTGGACAAGGAGGCAGGACACAGCCTCAAGGACATGATTGATGAGCAGACACCAGTTGTTTCCACACAGGAAAGTGAGCTGTGGACACGATGTTAGGAGCTTTTGTCACTTTCTCATTGACTTTTAAGAGTCCCATAAAAGGTTCCCAAACCCTGTTTCTGTGAAGTTAGGAATGTTGCCACCAGGAGGCAGCAGCATACAGGGTTACATTTTCTAGCAGACAACTAGAAGAGCAGAAGAAAAGCCATTAGAATCCCTTTCTACAGAAAATCAAATCACATATAAATCTCTGTCATTATCATGAAAGCTGATACTTTTGTGCACACTGAGACAGAGAGAGCGTGAACACCCCAGGCTTAGAGGAGGAGGCTGTGCTGAGATACAGGTTGAGTTCAGGCAAACAGGACTTGAAGTCCCAGCTCTGCCTTTGATTAACTATGTGATCACGGGGAAGTTAAATCTAAGGTTGTTACAACGGTTAAATGAAATATGTGCCTGGTCCAAGGTCGGTAAGTGAGAGTTGTAGTTAGATCTTCTATAGATCTTCCAGTTTCCCTCTAACAATTTCTTTCTTAAAGAAATGTTTCTAAAGAAACATTAAATCATGCATATGAAATTGGAAACTCTTTGGGTTTGTGCATAGCTCAAAGGCTTCAAGGTACATTCATGACAAAGTTCCAGTAACTTCTCTCATGCCCGTTACAACTTTACCTAGGGAATCATTTTGTAAGCTGGCCTCTTTCATCACATGGAAAAGCCTTCAGAGAAGAGCCTTCTAGAAGGCTCCAATCTAGAAACTAGTAAAGGGTCTATAGAAGGCATTAAATGTGTCATTTCCTTGATTAAAACAAATTAATGGCTCCTTACTGCTTAAGGAATAAAGTCCATGGTCCTTAGCATGGCATATGAGGTCCACCTCACCATCCAGTCACCCCCGTGTAGACACTTAATATTGTGCTCCAGGAGTTTGATCCAGATGCTCCACAGTGTGCTCCATTAGTATGAGGCTTAATAATAAATAGTTTGATGGACTAGAAGTTAAAATACTGTGGATACTGAATCCATGCTGCTTTAATATAGTTTTATAGAATCAAGAGTATCCCTGTTTTAGCATTACAGTCCTTTCCATTGCAACAGAATTCTGAGGAGAAAATAATTTCCAGAGCCAATTGGCATGATAAGGACTGTGCAGACCCAGTGCAGGTCCTTTGGGTGGGTCTTGGCTTGTGAGGAGCCATGTTGAGAAGTGCTCTTGTGGCCACATTGGTCACAGTGTTCTCTGACTTCATGACACAAACTGCACTTCTGGGTGCCATTGCTCAGGCTTTGCTTCTGCCTCCAGTGGCTTTTCCCACTTTCCTTACCTTCTCATCTACCAACCAGGAAGATCCTAACTCAAATTACTTCTTCTCTGAAGGCTTTTCCATCCCCCCACCCCTGCCACAAGCTATCATTTCTTGTCTCTGCTTGCTTTATGAATACTGTTCTTATCATTCTCATTCATTCAACACACATTTGGATGCTAGAGTGATCACATCATCTCATAATTAGATTATATGTCAGTCATTAGGCAGGATGCTGACTGCCTACAAGGACCATTTCTGAATTTTCTTTGTACTCCCAGAGCTTAGTATAGAAGTGAGCACAGAGTAGACATTCCATAAATGTTGGCTAATTGTGAACTAAAAAATTGAAAATAAAGATCAGAGTGTCATGGACCATGAGAATCACATCAGAAGACTATAGATGGGTCTGATGAGAGGAACAGGAAGGAAAAGGGGAAGAAGAAGTGGAGAGTCTACTGTAAATCTCCAAAAAGCACATGGACTTTGGAGCCAAAGAACAAATTGTTCCATTGTTCTGGCAGAAGTTGCCAGCACCCATTTCCCAGTAGATGTGGGCACCAGGATCCTTTGTCCCCAGTGAATTTCACATTTGTTATCACATCCTAATCTTTGGATTCCATCAGCAAAGCCACTAATCACTTTTTAAATTGACTGCAGAGTGGATATTAAAGGCCGTAATTCTTGCCAGGAGGAAAAACAAACAGAATCCATGGATATGTAGGGGCACAAGTTGGTTCAAGGCTAAGAAGCCCACGTGCCTACAGGTGAAAAGTTCAGGGAGATCGGGGTGTAAAAAAGAGATGCAATCTCGCTCTGTGTGTCCCAACCCTTCAGTGTGCCACTGTGTCCTGGTATGTCTGTGGGCCACTAAAATCAGCACCATGAAAATCCTGGTCTTGGTCTTGATTTGTCTACACCTCTCAGAGGGTGTGGAAAGGTGTGTATGGGGATTCAGTTTCACTGTGAGTTTCAGCCCTAAGGGAGCATCACAAGCTAGGGTAAAGCAAAGGCCTTCCCCTGCAGATCTCATGGAAAGGCAGGCAGATTGTGTCTTGGTACATGAACCCAAAAACCACAGGGACCCTAGACTTGAAATGGATGATGATGATGATGATGATGATGATGCTGTGTGTATGTGTGTGTGTGTATTAGTAAAGGTGGGTTGGTGTTTTGTTAGCCAAGAAGGAAGGATGTACAATATCTATAAAGCTTAGAGGAGGGACTGGGAAGGAACAGGTATTTATTCTGTGGAAAGAGTGTATGTAAGCAGGAAACCCCAAATATATGTTATAGTGGATTTTCAGGCTGGAAATGCTGAAGTGACTGCAGAACTTGCTAAAATCCAGAAGGATTTCTTACAAGAGGCTCTTCTTGGGTAGAAGTAGGTTTAAAAATGCCAGATCAGATCACTGAAGTGATTTCTTTAATGGGGAAGGTGAAGCTCACTCCTTTTGTTTGCCCTAATCTCTGCAGAATCATTCTGAAGAAAGGCAAGTCCATCCGCCAGGTGATGGAAGAGCGGGGTGTATTAGAGACATTCCTGAAGAACCACCCAAAGGCTGATCCAGCTGCCAAGTATCTTTACAATAATGATGCTGTTGCTTATGAACCCTTCACCAACTACCTGGATGTAAGTGAAAGGGGAGGTGGTATCCATAACCCTTGGCTAATAACCATTCTTGGATACTTACCTAGACCCCTAGATTTTGGACTTTTTACTAAACCTAAGTCTCACCTTCCTGTGGAAAGTCTCTGATCAAGTTATGAGTTGGTACCACTTAACACTATTGTATTCCCTTTCCTTTCTTCTTCTCATTACTGGCTCATTCTCCGAAGCTCCATTTATGTGGTTAAGAGATCCACAGTGACCATATTCAAGTCAATTGAGAGAGCCAAAGGAAGTCCCAGTGATGGGCTGCAGGGGAAAGAAGGACAGCACATGCCAAGCTGCCAGGCAAAATCTCCAGTGGCTCCAGATGACAGATCTCCCCGTTTGGAAACATACACTGGTACTCAGAGCAAGTATTTGAGTGTTCTTGAGGCTGCAGTGTCTGCTCAGGGCATCTCAACACACCGGTGTCCTATGGACTGTCCTTAGTGAGATGTTACATGAGTGTCAGATCTAGAAGCCACCTTAGGGATCTCCTGTTTCGACTTCCACTTTCTATAGATGGTGGAAGGAGAGGCAGGTAAGTGACATGACTGGCCCGAATTCACTTAGAACTTAAACTGTGTCTCAGTGAAGTTCTCTTCTTGCTTTCCATGCTACTTCTCATTACTAAACCAAAGTCTCACCTTCCTATGGATTTCCTAACACCTTAGCTACTGTGTGACCAGAGGGAGGGGAATGGTGGGGAAATATCTAACACTGGAAGAAAAGGAAGGATGTGTGTGTGTGTGTTTATGTGTGTGTGTGTGTGTGTGTGTGTGTGTGATGTGGGGAGGGGTTTGGGCACTGGGAATGGAGAAAAGGTGATTGCTTTTCCAAGTGTGCATGTTCTGGCATAGCATGGTAAATCCATGGTGTTATCACCTGATACAAAGTGGAAAATGCTTTGGAAGAAGAGACTGGCTTGCCAGACCAATTCTCACCTAGTCAAAGTCTTGCAATTAGGGACAAAAATGGGCAATATCGAGGGGATCTGGCTCTAGATGTGAAGGAGAACTTCTGGAAAGAGAAAAATATAATTTGTCCAAATGTGGTTTCTAGTGAGTCACTGTCTTCCCCATCCTTAGGATGAGGCTTGGCTACTAAATGAGCGTGACAAACTTTTCTTTGCAGTCCTACTACTTTGGAGAGATCAGCATTGGGACACCGCCACAAAATTTCCTGGTCCTCTTTGACACAGGCTCCTCCAACCTGTGGGTGCCCTCTACCTACTGCCAAAGCCAGGCCTGCTGTGAGTATACCACCATCACCACCCACCCATGGATAGTAGCAGAGGCCAGGGCAGAGTCAGGATTGAGCACAATCTCAGCATCCAAGTCCAGAGTTCTTGGTGCATACCCATGATCTCATCCTCCTTAAATTGAGACCATGTGGAAATCTTGCCCTTGGTCTACATTTCACAAGTGCTACAGTTCTGGAGAGAGACAGCAGAAATAGACCAAGGCTTCTGTTCTTTTCTACATTGTTCCCTTTCCTCAGCTTTCTCCTGTGGGCCCCAATTCCTGTCACTTTGAGTTGAGCCATTCCTCAGGAAATGGAAGGAAGGGGCAACATCTGTTTGCCAAGGGGACAGACTTTTCTGGGGCTACAGATTGTCTTCAGCACAAAGGATCTGAGGCTGAGGCCCAACCCCAGGCTTGGTCTGACAGTCTCAGACCATCAAGGATAAGTGTCCTCCAAGTATTTCGGAAAATGTGTTGACATTAACTTTCCATTCTATCTTTGCACAGTCAATCACAACAGGTTCAACCCCAGCAGTTCCTCTACCTACAGAAACAATGGGCAAACCTATACACTGTATTATGGAAGTGGCAGCCTGACTGTGCTCCTGGGATATGACACTGTTAATGTAAGTGTTTTATGGGCATAATTTATATTTCCAGTTCTCTGATACTCTGGGTGTTCCTCTGAGGAGGCTCCTCTCCCTCGTGCCTTCAGCCTGGTGGAGTCTGAAGAGCAGATCAGAGGACAAGACCCTTCGTCCTGTGGTTCCTCTGTGTCTGAAAGAGAGAGGGATGGTGAGAGGGGAGGAAGGAGCTGCCTGATCATGTGTATTGTGGGAACTCATGCTCTTCTCCTTGTCTCCATAGCCAACCAACCTATCAGTATGGTGGGGAGCTCATCCTGGGAGGTGTGGACTCCCAATTTTATTTTGGTGAGATCGTCTGGGCTCCTGTCACCCGGGAAATGTACTGGCAGATTGCCATCGATGAGTAAGTACAGGGGAAATTTCCTGTGGATTATGGACACCCCTAGGATGTTCTCCAGTGTGACAATATTTCCTGTTCTTGCACTGGCACACACTTCTGAAAGAATCAGCAAACCCTCAGGCTGATTGTTCCTGGAGCTCAGTAGACCCTGACATGCAGCTCTTGACTAAACTTTTTGACTTGGTCACTGAAACTTGTCATTTCAGCAGGTTGGTCATTCCTAGGCTTCTGTGAATCCATGTCTTTGTTCCTGGGAGCTTCATTATCCCAAGTAGCACAGTCCTACCAAGTCCTTCATCAGTAAAAGTAACAGCTCTCATTGATGTTTTTGATGTGCCAGAGACTGTGCTAAATATTTTATATATATTATTGCATGTATATTCCACTACAACACTATGAGGTGGTCAGTAGTTTATTTCATTGTGTAGATAAAGGAATCAACTTATCCAAAGTCACACATTTCACAAATTTCCAAATTTGAGCCCAAGCATATCTGTTCCCAGAGCTTAGTACCATGAATCGGTTACTTCTACACTCCAACCCTTCAGGAAATTTCCATCACCTCCATTTAAAGATACACTTCTTTGGCCTTTGCTCAAGACCATACAACAGCTGGGCACTACCTATCGCTACAGCCTTCCCACCACTTCCTGACGTGCAGCACAGACTTCACCACGTCCTTGCACCTTGCCATGACTCTTTTGCCTCTTCTCTTTTGACTATATCACCTGAAGCCCCTCATGTCCTGTGCACATCCTTTGGAGACCAGATAAATTCCTACCTTCCCCCAAAAGACCTCTCAGGGACCCAATCTCTCTTTCAGTCCCATAGTATTACTGGCTTGTGTCCCAACATGTCTCTCTTCATCTGTGGGTAGACACAGTGGAATCACCCCAATGTGCATGAGTAGAGAGGTAAGCAGTTGATGTCTGACAACTAGTTTTTTGTGCCTGGAGTAGAGGGGTCTTTTCACTTGGACCAATTGCACTCACCCCTTAAGCATCTCTTTTCAGAAAAATCCTTGTCTGACCAACTGCTTCTCATGGCCAGAGTAGATCAAGTCCCCTCCTCTCTGGCCTCTTGAATTTCTTTCATGGCACTCACCAGGGCTACAATTAAACACCATTTACGTGTTTCTGTCAAGTTTGTGGTGTCTGTCTTGTTCACCATTACATCCAAGTACCTTGATTCACCAACAGTACCCAAAATATAAATGGACTGAAGAGGAAGAGTAGAGCAGCCGAAAAAGCTGGATGAGGGATCAGGGACTGAATCACATAGGACTACATTATGGAGATCACCAGCTATTGCCCTATGGTGTTGTGGCTTAATGTATGGTGTTGTCTCATGTCCATTAGAATATGCTCTTTAAAAACAGCGAATATAAGTTAGTCCTCTTCATATCACCCTAATTCTTCTAAGAGTGTCTTGTACATAGTAGGTGCCCGATGTGTATTTATGATTTGATTACCAACTTTAGCTATGTTTGGCACTATGTGTTGGGCCTCATATAGGCAGATTAAAGAGGATAAGACACAGTCCCTACTCCCCACAGAGCTCAGTCAGAGCTGGAGTAGTTACCAGAGCAAGACTGAGGATATTATTCCAGTGGTCCCAAAGACACAGATTTATTACATGGATTGCAGTGTCAAGGTATGGCCTGGCTTTTTGGAAGACTCATCTTTTCAGAGCCGCAGGGTTAGGAGATTAGGGAGGATGCGGCACTTATTTATGGCAGAAATGTCTGACTCTCTCTCTTTTTTAAAGATTTATTTATTTATTTATTTGAAAGAGAGAGGGGGAGAGAGAGAGCGGGGGGAGGGTCAGAGGGAGAGACAGTCCCGAGCAGACTCCGAGCTGAGCATAGAGCCCAGTGTAGGGCTCCATCTCACAACGCTGGGATCATGACTCAAACTAAAACCAAGAGTCAGACGCTCAACTGACTGCACCACCTAGCTACCCCTAGAAATGCCTGACTCTCTTTGTATTGGTGTGCCCCTCAGGTTTCTTATTGATAACCAGGCCACTGGCTTGTGCTCCCAGGGCTGCCAGGGGATCGTGGATACGGGAACCTTCCCACTGACTGTTCCCCAGCAGTACTTGGACTCCTTTGTGAAGGCAACAGGAGCCCAACAAGATCAGAATGGTGATGTGAGTAACCAGAAGCCAGGGCTCCTCTGCACATCCAGGCAGCCTCAGCATAGGAGCCTGAGTGCAATGAGTTCATGAGAGACAAGAGGAGGGATTGGGGGAGAACTGAGCTCCTGGTGGAACAGAACACGTGGGGACACATCATGGCCTTTCAGGCATGAACCCTCAATGCAAGGAGGCATAAGGGGAGGGAATAACACCAACTCCAACTGTGAGTATGGGCTGAATGATTGTCGGGAGGGGTGGCTGTTCCATTGCAGGCCCTTGGAACACATCTCACCTTGGTGTGGCACTGTCATTTGACTCTATGAACAGAGCCAGGCATATTGCATTTCTCCATTGCATTTGGGTTTCTTTCTTCCCTAGGAATACTCCTTTGGCTTTTACTCTGAGCAGCCTCCTGTGCCCACCCCTGTTCCCCTATACCCACTTCTGTAGTTTGCTCCTCCTGTATGCAAGAGTCTAGTTTAGTCAGACTAAATCTTGGTCCCTCAGGATGTGTGTGTGTGTTTGTGATGAGTATGTGGATAGGTACACACTTATGTGAGAACATGCTTCACACAGGATGTGCCCATGCTTCTTCTCTGTAAGTGGTACTTTCTGGCAGTAGAAATCTGTGTTCTGGAATGAGCCTAACTCCTTGTGGCCATATCAACACAATCAAAATCTCAGAGCTGAGATGTGTCCAAGGAGGCCCAGGAAAGCAAAAGCATCTGGTCGGTGTTGTACCTGGGAATCAGGCTTTGCCTTCCATGCTCTCAACCAACCTCTGCTGGAAGGTCAGGAAGAGAGTCTCACGGGGAATGGGGGACTCGGGCCCTTTGTCTGGACCCCCAGTCCCCTGACATTCTACAGCTCTGCTTCTCTTCTCTCTCAGTATGTGGTCAACTGCAGCTCCCTACAGAGCATGCCCACCATGACCTTTGTCATCAGCGGGACCCCATTACCTCTGCCTCCCTCTGCCTATGTCTTCAATGTAAGTATGCACTCCAGGCTCCAGGAAAATGGGATTGGATGGGCACAAACAGCTGTTCTGTGTCCCAGCTCACATCTGAGCACCTATGGGGAGTCACTAGTGGCAGGGTTGAGGGTGAACAGGAAGCCAGAGACCCCAGAAGTGTCAAGGAATATAGGGTGGGAAGTTCCGGTAGGGAAAGGCCTCTCCATGCACCTGGTTATATCCTGATGTTCTTTGTCTGCAGAATAATGGCTACTGCACGCTTGGGATTGAGGCCACTTACTTGCCCTCCCCCACTGGGCAGCCCCTGTGGATTCTAGGAGATGTTTTCCTCAAGGAATATTACACTGTCTATGACATTGGGAACAGCAGGATGGGTTTTGCCCTCTCTAAGTAGACTAGCAAGAGGCAGCTGTCTCCACCCTCCTAGCAGAACTCTGGGATTGCCCTACTGTTTCTCTGGGCTGACAGCAGCATTTTAGACTAGTCTGGTCCCTCTGTGCACTAGAATCTTACTTCCTGCAACTAATAAATCAAGAATCTCCAAACGTCCTTGCTGTTCCCTCTAAATGTCTTCTTTGTGTTCTGCTTGTAGTAGTTTATTCTAGATTGAAAGTTAGCAACAGGGGCGCCTGGGTGGCTCAGTTGGTTGAGCAACTGCCTTCGGCTCAGGTCATGATCCTGGAATCCCAGGATCAAGTCCCGCATCAGGCTCCCTGCTCAGCAGGGAGTCTGCTTCTCCCTCTGACCCTCATGATCTCTCTCTCATCTCATTCTCTCTCTCAAATAAATAAATAAAATCTTAATAAAAAAAAAGAAAGTTAGCAACAGTTCTTTGGGGGAATCTGTGAATTCCCCAATGGGCAAGAACACAGAGCAGAGGTCTCTGAGTGAGGACCCACACATAGATTTTAAGGACACAGTAGTACCTACATAAAGTACTCTAGTGGAGGTGACCAGCCCTCCCAGCACTCTCCCTTCCAACACATTCTTCTCTCCATTCTTGAATGTTAGAGAAGAAAAAGAAACATTGGAGAACATATCAAACTGGTGCTCTGAGGCCAACTCAGATTACAAAATGGTGTTTCTTCTTGAGGAAAGCAGCACAGTTTTAATTAATTTTTTCTGGTATTTTCACAGACCCCTTTCTTCCCTACTCACTATGGGTGCTCTCAGGTTGTTCACATATGTACTTTACCTGCCTAACCTGAAAGCTTTTGAGTTTAGAACCCCAATCTCATTTTACAGTGGAAGAAAGTGGGGTGTGGACAGGTTAGCATACAGTTAGTGTTAAAATCAGATCCAGATCAATGTATTAAATATTTTTATTGTGTTGCTATATGATAAAGTCCGCTATGTGCAAGCCATGGAGGCATACAATTACAAATGAGACATGGCATTGGCTCACTAGGAATTTTCTATCAAGTACAGCATATTGCTCTTGAGCATGTTTCCGGTCTGAAGTAAGCCCAGTAGCTGAACTTGCATTCCACAGTAGGTTATGAACAATCATCTGCAGTGGGTTCTTCTAATGCAGTAATGCTGCCTTTAGGGAGGTAAAAACTGGTATTGCTCTGGGACCCAAAGTTCTTTCAAGAAATGTAATTAGAAGGATTTACCTGGAAAGAAAGATGCAAAGAATTCTCAATCTAGATGTTTGTGGGTGGTAGTGGTAGATGGAGGTGTACATTTTTCTACATCATTGCATCATTCTCCTTCACCAACACACGATGGAGCTGATCTTATGGAATTGGGTAATGTCTGCACTCTGACAATTGCTTTTTCTTTCTGTTGTGCTTCTCTTATGGGAGATACAGCTTTCTTTTGTCAAAGGGAAGGGAGCTCAGTTCAGCCCCAATTCACCTGCATCCTCATCCCTGCTCCATCAGCCACTGTTCCTGCCTCAGTATCACCTCTATTCATGCTCTGGTGGATGGCCTCAACTATATAGAGCAAAGATCTTGAGATGGAAATATAATTGCTAGAAAGTTCTCAGCACTGAAATACAACAAATACAAGTTATCATGAGTAATCTGAAATTCATCAGCAGGGACAAACCACAGACACTGGAACAACATATGGTATTTGTAAAGCCAGAGCTAGCAATTCTGTCTGCTCCTGGATTCTAGAAAGTAGCACCCAACAGAAGCTGTCCACAGCTTATGGTCTCTGTTCCACCTTGTCTATCATGGTAGGACAGGGACAAAATTTACTCATATGGGAGTGTTCCCTACCTTCCAATATGCCACTCTGTCCCCACCACACTAATAAAGATCTTGTCTGTCTGATTCTTGTATCTTATGTGACAGAGACTGAGGGACTGGGACAGAAAAAGAGAGAGAGATGAAGAGAGGAAGAGAGATGCTAGTGGGTCAAAAAAGGTAAAAGGAATGAGGAGTAAATGAGATTTTTAAAAAGCTGGAAGGTAATAGGGAAGAGAGAAGGGATAGAAACTATGGATGGGAGAGGTGAAAAATAAATACTTGGAATTGGAAATTTCTTGGGGGAGATGCTCCACAGTAACATAGGATTGTTGAAAGGGAACATAGGATGAAGATTTTGAGAAATGTTGCCTTTGCTTACAAATTAGAGACTTTTTAATGTTCTGTAAGAGATACAAAAATTGGAATTCCTCTTTAATTGTTTTTAGCTGCTGTAATGCACTTTTGAAATGTGAATTCATGAAGAAAGTGGCCACATGGACCCCAGTCTATATTTGGGTTATACTTGTAAAACACATTCTAGAGTTTTCTTTCCATTTACTGCTTATGCCATCACCACTGATGAAATATCATTAATTTATTCATAAGGTATTTATTGAAATCTCTTTGTGTAAGTAAAATCTTCCCTGATCCCTGACATCTTCCTGTGTGTCCTCCGCCTACCCCCCCATGAGAGGTTATTGCTCCTCCTTCCCTCCCCCCATAGCACTTTGTTCCTCTGACAGTTCACTACACATTGCACTGTATTGTACCAATTGCACGTCCGCCTCCACAACTCAGTTATGATCAAGAGAAAAGAGACCGTTCATTTTTCTCTTTAAGTCCCCAGATCTGACATGTTTTGTGATAACAAGTGCTTAGCAATGCCTGCTATACAACCACATTCATAATACAAGTGACATAAAGACTGTTACAGCGAATGGTGCCTGAGAGTGGCAGGAAAGAGGAAGTATCACAAAGGAAACCATGTTAGATTTCTCCTTCAAGTATGTGTAGGAACTCACTGGGTAGAAAAAGTTAGAAAAGGGATCTCATGCAGAAACTGGCATAAGGACAGCACAGAGGCAGGAGACAGTTTGTGTAATTGTAGAGCATCAGGAAATCCCGACTGGCTGGATGCAAGGTACTGGAGAGGATAGTAGGAAATGAGGCAGCCAAGGTGGGTTGCGGTCAGAGGGGCAGGGCCTTGTTAAATCTCTGGACTTGATTCTGCTGTCAAACGGACCCATATGGGTTTCAGTGGAGGAGAGACCTATGATCAGATATTTGAGGAAGAGGGCTCTGCTGGCAGGGCTCCTCTGCTGTTCCCTAGTCCTTACCTGGGGTCACCCAGGGTCTAGTTTCCATAGAGACTCAACTTCAGATAGAGGCATATCCTTTGTTCCTGGTAGAGCTTCTGCTCTAGAACTCTGGCCATTTTCCTAGGCTCACCATTGTGGCCAGAAGAGCTAAACAGAAATGGAAGACCCCTTTGTATCTGACAACTAAATCCAGAACTTAGAGCCAACCAATGGTAGTGAACTCTTGGCTTCCCCCTTTCTTAGTTCCATTTTGACCCAGCTCTTACTATGCAAATGTCACCAGAAATCTCAAAATCTCCTCTTTGCACCAACATGGTAGAGGTTTTCATTAAGGCCTGCTTCCATGTGCCATTCACCATCAAACACATGTGCAGAAGAATATTACCTTGTTGAGAAGATTTGATGTGTAATGAGTTCTCTGAACTTGGCCACACCAGGTAGAGGCTCTGACAGGAAAATAGGCTGGGCAGTTGGTGAGGGGTGGGGCTCAGGAATGGATAAATGTAGACCTGGAAGCAGGCTTTAGGCTGGATTTCTGGTACTCTGCCTTCTGCAGCTGTTCCACTTTCACAGAGATAATGAGGTCCTTCTAGGCTCAGACCCTATGTAGAAATCCCAGACCCCAGGCCTTTGTGCTGGACTGCAGCCAAGATGAGGTGGTGCTGCTTTGAGCTGGTAGGTCACACAGACCCCAGACCTTTCGTCTCTCCAGCAAGGAGCAGGGAGCAGGGATCCAGCCCCCATCTTCAACAAGCCAAGCCTCAGTTTGGATTTTTCCATGCCATTTCTCTCTTGTCTGGCATGTCCCCCCCGCCCCCAAACCCACCAGACTTCTGGTTTTTCAGGCTGTTGCTTTCTCTCCCTTTTCCATGAGCTTAGGGTCCAGAATGTAAAAGTGAGGTTCTCTGTGGGATGCTAGAAAGTATTAAAGGAAGTTTTGGGACTACATCAAGATAAAAACTTCTGTACAGCAAAGGAAACAGTCAACAAAACTAAGAGGCAGCCCACAGAATGGGAGAAGATATTTGCAAATGACATTACAGAAAAGAGCTGGTATCCAAGATCTGCAAAGAACTTCTCAAACTCAACACCCTCCAAAAAAATAATTCAGTCAAGAAAAAGGCAGAATACATGAACAGGTAGACATACATGTCCAAAGAAGACATACAAATGGCTAACAGACACATGAAAAAATGTTCAACATCACTAGCCATCAGGGAAATACAAGTCAAAACCACAATGAGATAACCCTTACACCAGTTAGAATGGCAAAAATTAATAAAACAGGAAACAACAAATGTTGGTGAGGATGTGGATAAAGGGAAACCCTCTTACACTGCTGGTGGGAACTCAAGTTGGTACAGCCACTTTGGAAAAGAGTATGGTGGTTCCTCAAGATGTTAAAAATAGAGCTACCCTACGACCCAGCAATAGCACTATTAGGTATTTACCCCAAAGATACAGATGTAGTGAAAAGAAGGGGCACATGCACCTCAATGTTCATAGCAGCAATGGCCACAATAGCTAAACTGTGGAAGGAGCTGAGCTGTCCTTCAACAGATGAATGGATAAAGAAGATGTGGTTCATATATACAATGGAATATTACTCAGCCATCAGAAAGGATGAATACCTGCCATTTGCATTGACATGGTTGGAACTGGAGGGGATTATGCTAAGTGAAATAAGTCAAGCAGAGAAAGACAATTATCATATGGTTTCACTCATATGTGGAACATAAGGAATAGCACAGAGGACCATAGGGGAAGGGAGGGAAAACTGAATGGGAAGAAATCTGAGAAGGAGACAAACCATGACAGACTCTGGACTCTGGGAAACAAACTGAGGGTTGCAGAAGGGAGGGGGGTTGGGGGAT